ATAACAATAGACCATCCAACCCCAAACACCGGACTCCTCCGAAATAGGTTAACAGTAATAACCAAACATATAATACATTACAATAGACCATCCAACCCCAGACTCCGGACTCCTCCGAAATAGGTTAACAGTAATAACCAAACATATAAGACATAACAATAGACCATCCAACCCCAAACACCTGACTCCTCCGAAATAGGTTAACAGTAATAACCAAACATATAATACATTACAATAGACCATCCAACCCCAAACTCCGGACTCCTCCGAAATAGGTTAACAGTAATAACCAAACATATAAGAAATAACAATAGACCATCCAACCCCAAACACCGGACTCCTCCGAAATAGGTTAACAGTAATAACCAAACATATAATACATTACAATAGACCATCCAACCCCAAACACCGGACTCCTCCGAAATAGGTTAACAGTAATAACCAAACATATAAGACATAACAATAGACCATCCAACCCCAAACTCAGGACTCCTCCGAAATAGGTTAACAGTAATAACCAAACATATAAGACATAACAATAGACCATCCAACCCCAAACACCGGACTCCTCCGAAATAGGTTAACAGTAATAACCAAATATATAAGACAGAACAATAGACCATCCAACCCCAAACTCCGGACTCCTCCGAAATAGGTTAACAGTAATAACCAAACATATAAGACATAACAATAGACCATCCAACCCCAAACTCAGGACTCCTCCGAAATAGGTTAACAGTAATAACCAAACATATAAGACATAACAATAGACCATCCAACCCCAAACTCAGGACTCCTCCGAAATAGGTTAACAGTAATAACCAAACATATAAGACATAACAATAGACCATCCAACCCCAAACACCGGACTCCTCCGAAATAGGTTAACAGTAATAACCAAATATATAAGACAGAACAATAGACCATCCAACCCCAAACTCCGGACTCCTCCGAAATAGGTTAACAGTAATAACCAAACATATAAGACATAACAATAGACCATCCAACCCCAAACACCGGACTCCTCCGAAATAGGTTAACAGTAATAACCAAACATATACGACATTACAATAGACCATCCAACCTAAAACACCTGACTCCTCCGAAATAGGTTAACAGTAATAACCAAACATATAAGACATTACAATAGACCATCCAACCTAAAACACCGGACTCCTCCGAAATAGGTTAACAGTAATAACCAAACATATAATACATTACAATAGACCATCCAACCCCAAACTCCGGACTCCTCCGAAATAGGTTAACAGTAATAACCAAACATATAATACATTACAGTAGACCATCCAACCCCAAACACCGGACTCCTCCGAAATAGGTTAACAGTAATAACCAAATATATAAGACATAACAATAGACCATCCAACCCCAAACTCCGGACTCCTCCGAAATAGGTTAACAGTAATAACCAAACATACAAGACATAACAATAGACCATCCAACCCCAAACACCGGACTCCTCCGAAATAGGTTAACAGTAATAACCAAACATATAAGACATTACAATAGACCATCCAACCTAAAACACCGGACTCCTCCGAAATAGGTTAACAGTAATAACCAAACATATAAGACATTACAATAGACCATCCAACCCCAAACACCGGACTCCTCCGAAATAGACGTACAAGATTAGATAAACTGTTTATTATTTACACATGATAAAGATATGTATTGATACAATACAAAGGTAACAAAGAAACAAGCCGGTAACAACCATTGCCGGATAGTTTTTCTGCACGAGTAGTCAGGTGAAGGTCCGAGGCGATAGCCGAGGACCTTGACGTGACTTCAAGTGCAGAAGAACTATACGGCAGTTTGTTACCGGCCTGTTATTTTTGTTAACTTTGTTTTGTATCTGACTTGTACGACGTTTCAAGAAAGAAGTAGTACATTTTGCATTTAGAAGAGGTAGCGAAATTAAACAGATTAGAAACGTAAATTGCCATATACCAGTTAATGTAAGCTACAGTTCAAACAAACTTTTTTTTCGCTTACCTTCAGCCGAGAGTTTTTTTTTTTTCTCAAGAAATTCGAGAATCTAATAATTTTATAAAATAGAACGATGTCAAGTAAACGAGGAATGTCGTACACATTTGAGACTTTTTAAAATGCAACTTCGCAAGTAAGTAATGTATGAAAAAAATTTAGGGGTTAGCAAGCTAACATTTGATTTTTATTTGGGTAAAAACGGAAAAGGGGGGGGGGGGGGGGGTTTAAGATAAATTTAAAATAATCAGGTTTGATCCTTTTATTTGTTGAAAAAATGCAGGATGTGCCATTCCATTCCCCCATTCCCCCTTAAAAAATAATAAAAATCGTACGTTTGCTCCCAAATATTTGAATTCAATATATATGAATTCAATCTATATTCAATAACAATATGAATGTATAAAAAGAATGAATTTCCTTTTTCATTAGTGAATGAAATGTTATGAAAAGATGGATTTTGTCTTGTTACATGTATTAGATATATATATAGGCATATATTTTGGATTTTTTTTTAAATCTTCATGCTTAAAGGTTTTTATATATCTCTACTTGTGTTGATCAGGATTAAACGCGTTTCACAAAATGATCCAATCTCAGCTTACCGTCCAAAAATTAGTGACATAAGTTGAATGATTTTCTTCAAGATTTGCTGCCTATTTGAACTTAATGTACTGTTTTTCTATAGCTCTGCTAGGGGCAAAGTTGTACAAGATGAATTGAAAGAAATACAAAGATATAAATTCTCAGTGGTTCTCATGCAGATATATGTCTTCGTTTGAAAATAATTTCATAGCATTATAAAATCAAAAAAGATCTTGTCATATACGACGGACTTCCTGAACTAGTATACATAATGGTTTAGGGACCCGCTGAAGCCCGCCTCAGGGTGCGGGATTTTCTCGCTGTGTTGAAGACCCATTGGTGGCCTTAGGCTGTTTTCTGCTCTTTAGTCGGGTTGTTGTTTCTTTGACACATTCCCCGTTTCCATTCTCAAATTTATTTCTACAAATTAAAATGTATTTTTAAAGAGTAAACTATTTGACAATATCATAATTAATTGTCAGGAGATGACGTTTTTGACCTTAATCGACTGTTCTTCAGTCTAGACTTAGTAATACCAACTGTAATACATTATATTACAATGTACCTTAACAAGTTTCAAAAGAGAGATCCGCATGCTTGGTTTCTATATAAATGTAAGCCACCAAATAAAATCACAAATGTTCGAGGAAAAATGACTTCTCTGGTTTTTTTTTGGTTTTTTTTTATTATTATAAATAGGAATAAATTTCTTACATATTTAAATGTAAGAAACACAAAACAACATTAGAACCATGACAAAATGTGTTTTTTTTTAAGATTATAGATTAAAGATTATTTTATGTTCTTGTGCCCCAAAAAATGCTTTGAGAGGGGAAATTTTTCGAGTAACCCGGTTTGTCATTTGGATATGTCATCCCGTGATTGTTGCCTTGTGATAAAGTCTCTGCCAATGCGGTTGTGTATGTCTGTTTAGTACAAGGTAGTTTCAGTATGCTTACATATCATTATTAGTTCCTTGTAATGTTTATAAATAACTTCCTAATAGATGCATTAACATCAATCTTTTCAAATTCTTTTGATACATAGATTTGATTAGGACAGACATTTCAATCTCGGACAAAATGCAAGACTATATTGCATATATACGATTTCTTTCAATTCAATGCATAACGCTAGTAATTTTCATACATGTACTACTAGCTTGAAACGTATCGTTATGTTAACTTTTGTCCTGACATTGTAGAACTGTACAAATGTATGCATATGTCTTGAATTAAGAGTTTGTAGCATATTTTCGTATTGTGTAAAATTATATAGCCATAATCCAAATATCAATGTATAATTATTTTTTATCAATATATAGTATTTTTAACTGTTTGTTCGCAATCATGATAGAAAGTTTTCCCCTTTCTATTTTTTCTTGCTCTCAATATTAAAAATAAACATATATGTCATATGAGCAAAGCACATTCAGTTTTAAGTTTATAACATCACCTTTTAGTTAATTAGATAAACGTACAAATGTCCTACATGTATATACTGTAAAAATAAACCCTAAGTATTTACAAATATTTTCTTAACTTCTATATTTAATTTATTTTTGATTTTGGCGATACAAAAATATTTTTCGAATGAATCCATTTAAAGTTGAATAAACGGTATATAACAGTGATACAAGTTGTTTCAAATTAAACGTGTAAGTATCAAAATATATGAGGTCAGGAAATATCTATATGTTAAGTATTACTTTGAATTAAAGAGTTTACAGAATAGAGAATCGTGGCTAAAAAATTAATGAATAGAGAAAAATAAGCAAAAAAAAAATTGAATAGAGAATAATGGGGTGCAAAAGTTTAAAGAATAACGGTAGAAGATAAAAGAATTAGGTAATATATATATAAATAAAATATGTACAGAATAAAGAAATCATATCATTATAGATACTTTTAATAGTAAAGAAATGTTTATGAGAATTTTACAGAATAAGTGTTATGTTTAAAGATAAAGAAAAATATACACATAAATGGAGGACCCCATCCAGATCCTCATTAATTCCATGCAGTTTTGGTGACATTATAAAATTTTCAGAAACATGAGAGAGATTTTTTAATAAGATTTATTATCATTCGCCTGATAAAACTCTCTTGAGAACAAAAATAAACACGTTTTAAAATGTTTGTTTTATCATGTCCTTGTTGTGCAAACAAATTCTGCAATATCACTTGCCCTTTTAATATATGCTATCTCAAATTCTTTTGGTTTTCCAATATTTTTTATTATAAGTTCAGTCATCAATACCCCGCATCAAAATATCATTATTGACAAAATTCGAATTAAAAGTCCAATACCATGTATAACAATACCGTATCTGAATTATTGATCTTTAATATCATTGCAGAAAAATTATATCATTTTTTATTTACTTTAAATCAATATCCAACGAAATGAAATATACATCTGTCCTGTGAAGTGTTTTACGGTTGATGAAACCGACCACGACAGCTTTCTCTACTCAAAATCAATACACATCCACGGGCTATGTTTGTATTCAAAATAAGAAGAGATTTGTAATTTACCGGATTGCGGACTGTCAAAGAGCTGATCATAGTAGTGTGTAATTGTTGACAAGAACCTGTTGATTCTATTAATGCATGGATAAAAACAAAAAATGTAAGTAAAAACATGTATAATAGTCTTTTTTCACAGTTGTAGTAAACTTCAATCAAGCAATGCTACACAAGTGCATTTTTTTATAGCAAGTAAGCAGCCTTCTCGCATCGTTTCATATATCCTGAACATTTTGTAATTATGTTTTCCTAAAAACTTTTGTTATATTTATTGTTTTTCTTTATCAAAGTCATTAAGTCTAATGGCGTCCAAATAATGTAATAAACATATGCTATTATCACCTCCTAAGAAGGCTGACTTTTTAAACAAGTGGGATGACAAACCCGAGGGGGGGAGGAAAGAACACCCCCTTTATACTTGGATCAGATTCATACAATTTCATACTCCTACCTACATATACAGGCTTCAAACTACATTTTTTCTGTTGCCTTTTTTACGTTCACAACTCTATTATGTTTAATGGAACAAAATGATAAATCTAGCTATGGATTTTATGTCATCTCTGTAGCGGACACGTAATATGATCAATGGTTCGAACTACGACCAGGTCAAGCTGAAAACCTCAGAATTTTATTTGCAATTTATCAACTGCGTAAACGTTGCTTAGAAGTAAGGGCAAGGACGGGTCGAATCGGAGTCACAACAATGTGTCCGGTAGGATGTCATTGCTTCTTGTGAGCTAGCAAATTGAATAGAAAAACAAGGCTCAACGTGTCTTTCTTGTCCAAAGGTTGTAATAGAATGTTACTCCTTTAGAAGTGTAATATTTGATACTGGACAATCATTAAGAAGTCGTCAATCACCTCTTTGTAAAGCACATATAGAATTTGGTAATATTTTAGGCGAACTCGACTGACAAACCCAATAATTGTACCTCTCTAAACTACAGCTCCGTAATTTTTATTTTACATGACTTTTAGTTATCAATGTTATTAAGTGTGTTACACAGGGAGACAGACATTATTCAAGGTTTATAGATTAATGATTAATGAATAATAATATAAATACGGATTTCACAAGAAAATATTGATGGAAATTACAATCGGCGTCTAAACTATCCCAGATGTCACCAGTTTCAACAAGTGCAATTAACATCTTTCCTAATGAGTTTGTCAGCGAGGAAATGTACTTCAATATCTAATCGTTAGACACAATCTGAAAAAGTTCTGTTGCTCGTAAGAAAGAATTGATTCCTTCGACGAAACTGACCAAATGCTTCAGGAAATTAAAGGAAAGAAATTATGAAGCTTGATTTGATGGAATCCTGGTTTTTTGTAGTATCTGATTGCCAATTATTGTCTGAATAGGAATGACAAAGATTTGTGAATTTTACTGCTTCGTATTTGGCTGCCACTGATATCTGAATAAGTTACACATATAGCGATGAGTTATCATTTGGAAGTATGACCTTGAAACAAAGTAACATTTGACATTTCAATGATGTATTAGTACATATTCCTGTTGCTCAGTGTTTAGGTTTCTGTAAAGAATGAACTGTATATGTCTTACTGTCTTTTAACTTTTGAAAATTGTTTCTTTCTTTCTTTTTTTTTTTTGATTCATGGTTTTTGATTTGTTTGTTTGTTTGTTTCGTGGTGTTTAACGTTACTCTCAGCGACCTTGGCTATATCATTGCGGTCAATCTTTTTTTTTATTGGTAGAGGATGCCAGTGTACCCATTGAGAACCACCGACCTTCGGCTGGAAAATTGGAAAAATTAAGATCGGAGTCGAACACACTTTGACACTCACAACCTAGAAGCAACAGACCAGCTGGTAGCGAGGCCACTCAGTGACCGATCCCCTTCGTATTGGTTTGCCCCCTGGTAGCGAGGCCACTCGGCGACCAATCCCTTTCGTATTGGATTGCCCCCTGGTAGCGAGGCCACTCGGCGACCGATCTCCTTCGTATTGGATTGCCCCCTGGTAGCGAGGCCACTCGGTGACCGATCCCCTTTGTATTGGATTACCCCCTGGTAGCGAGGCCACTCGGTGACTGATCCCCTTCGTATTGGATTGCCCCCTGGTAACGAGGTCACTCAGCGACCGATCTACTTCGTATTGGATTGCCCCCTGGTAGCGAGGCCACTCGGCGACCGATCCCCTTTGTATTGGATTGCCCCCTGGTAGCGATAGTATAAAAGTATTTCAAGTCACATTGTGAAATCCAAAACCTTAGAATGCTGTATATAATCAAAATCAGTCATCTAAAAAGGAGATTTGTTGATGATTGTCCTCAACATGCAATACAAGGTTTCTAGAATTTGTCTTTTGAAAATTGACGTTAACAAAATGGCAATATTATGCCAAGGAACGCAATACAATTCCAATAGTAACGACTATCATATCACACGTTGTCCAATTCTTGTTTGAGACGATTGGTTTGTCCTTGTGTGATTGATATATATTTAATGATCGACTGGTTTTCAGAACAAACCAGTCCCTAGATAATACATATTACCACTATGACAGTATGATTTAAAGGCAGTGATGGAACGCTACAAACGAATTGCTGATATTGAAATTCAGTTCTGTGTTTATTCAATACGTTGCTGACACGTAATGACAAATTAATATTTAAATGCATCAGTCTTCGTGTTTAATGACGAACAACCATATAACAATAATGGAGGGCTGAACTTGATTTCATTTTTCATAATTTACTCGATAAGTGAAAAATACACGTTCTGAATGCTAATTTTTCGAAATTGATCGCATTTATCTGATATATATATATGATCTGACGTATGCGTGACAATTTATTAGTTCCGATTAAATTCATCTCGTGATCCCTTAATAGGGTATGATAATTAAAGTTGACGTCTGAAGGAGATTCATGGATAAATGCAATGTGCAAGAATTCAAACTAGCCACATTCGCTGAGGTTATGGACTCCCCCCATTTTTTTTGGTGATATTTAGTCTATTTTATTTGTATTTCAAATTATTTAATATTATTTAATATGTTCCCGCTCCAATCCTTGCAATCTTATAATAACTAAAATTTGTACATTTTATCTCTCTATTCTTATTTTCCACATGAAAAATAATAAAGTTGCAGCATGTTCATGTATAAACTACTATTAATTATTGTTGAAAATAAGATTTGAAATACAGCATGATTAAACTACAGTAACTGTTATTGTAAGATTGTATTGGTAATTAAAATGACAAGAATATATTTATTTTCCTATTGATCCTTTATGTCAATGTTAGTTATAATAATGTTTCTTTCAATTTTCTGCATGATTTTTTTTTTAACATTTTATCCATATAAAGGTGAAAAGTGCGAATGATTTGCCGACATTGCTGATTATAAGTCGCGAATAAAGGTTAAACAACTAATCATCTATATATTCACGGTTATACAAATACTTATATAATGGACTTAAACTTAACGGAATCTGATGTTCAGTAGTTGTCGTTTGTTGATGTGGTTCATAAGTGTTTCTCGTTTTTAATATAGATTAGAACGTTGGTTTTCCTGTTTAAATAATTGAAGTGTGAATCAACTGTCAGTGGCAAATATTACATGTGTGTTGCGGACTTAATCATGTACCTTTGAATTATATTGTGATATGAAATGTAACGTCACTGATTGTGTGATGTATAATTCAAAGGTACATGATAAAGTCCGCAACACATATGTAATATTTGCTACTGACAGTTGATTCACACCTCAATTATTGCTTTCTACAATAAATGTACAATATACATGTACCATCAATTCCTAGATTACCAGTCTAGTTAATAACCAAAGACAGTGCTGCATTGAAGTGGACGTTTGTGGGATATTTCAAATGTTTTAACTAATATGGGATTTAATGAAATATGTGTTGTACTAGCTCTGCTTCTATTCATGACATCCTAAAATCCGCAATTTTTGGTTTAAAAGTTTAATCAACCGGGAATCAAACCTGTAACCCTCCGCGTTACAGGTCAGCACGCTACCGGAAGACCACCAAAACTGATTACAAATGATATGTGTGTCGATTCAAATATGTCCTGCTCTTTAATACACGAATTTATATACTTAACGGTTGTATATTTTTCATTTGAAAGCTTTTAATTTCACTGTACAAATATAGTCAGTTTTACCTAATGGCAAAGCTTTATGTATGCGATTAGGATATTTTAATTAAATCCTGATAAAATTCTATAAACTGCTGAAAGCGTATAATCGACCAGTTTTGTAATAAATGACCTTGTAACTTTTATATACTGTAAAGCTAATGATAGGCAACACCAAGGCCGATTTCTCTATTAGATTAACCGACATCAGAAAAAATTATAGTAAACATTAAAAAATTATAGAATAAACGTGTTGATCAAATTTTTTGATGCAATGTTTTTGACACGAAGAAAAGTCTAAATCAGTAGATATACATCTGAAGAATTTTTTAAAACAACTTTTGAGTTTTAAAATAAATAAAAGTTTCAACTGCGGTTGCCGTTTTTTGAGAATTGGTCAAACACGAAGATCTTCCTGATATTTAGCTACATCATGCACATTTCCAGCCAACCAGTTAGATCTCTGAATATTGACTTTCGACATAGAAATGGAAAAAAAAAATATTGTGGTGCGTTTCTCGTTTTGCTTGGTATATTATAAATAAATAAATCTGTATTGCAAAATTACACCCATAAGGGTCAAGCAATACAAACAAACAATGATACAATTAAATCATACAATGCAATACAATACAATTGAACATATTTCAAGAAAGAGTTCAATTTACAAATTTATGTAAAAACACAATCATAAACTTGTCTGAAATGGGTCTGGCCCCCTCGGTTCTAAAGATTGCTTATTGAAGACCCCAATATGACAAACTAAGTTCAGGGATGGGGTTAAGAATGTGTTTTAGTTTATTAAATGCATCAAGATGTTGAAATATTGGTACATAGTCTTTTAGATAAGCAATAAATTTGAACGCAATGCTATGTTAATTTCACAATACAAAAAGAAATGAAATTCGTCATCTAGGACTCCACATTTTGTACATAATCTTTGTGCTCTTGTTTCTGTATCTACCCAATTCAA